CGTACGTACGCCGTCGTCGTCGTCGTCCGTCCGTCCCGTCCCGTCCGTCCTCCGTCGTCGCGCGCGCGCACACACCTCTCTCTCTCCCTCCCCCCCCCCCCCCCCCCCGGCAGGGCGAGCTGGCACGCGAGATCAAGGAAGAGGACAGCACCTGGACCATCGAGGACTCGTCGCTTGTACAGATCCACCTCGAGAAACTCAACAAAAACGAGTGGTGGCCCCACGTCGTCACACACCACCCCAAAATCGACACGACCAAAATCGTACCCACAAACTCCAAGCTCAGCGACCTCGACGGAGAGACGAGGGCCATGGTCGAAAAAATGATGGTACGTGCGCGCCCCCGGCACTCGCTCTTGCTCTTGCTGCTGCTCTCTCCCTACCTCTCGTCCTCTCTCTGGCATGCTGCCGCCGCCGCCCCTCCTGCTCACACTTGCCCGTCAAACCCCCTTCCTCCCCGCCGCCCCGCCCACTGTCGCAGTTCGACAACCGACAAAAGGCCCTCGGCAAGCCCACCTCGGACCAGCTCCAGCAGCAGGAGGTGAGTCTGCTCCGCCCGTCCGCTAGTCGATCATCGCAACGCAATCTGAGCATCTCCTTCTCCGCCCGCGGCCCCGCTAGCTCCTCGCCAAGCTCCAGTCGGCCAACCCGGACGTCGACTTTTCCAACGCCAAAATGTCCTAATCCAGAGTCCGCACCCATGCGCCTTGGAAAGCCACACACAGTCTCAAACCCCGGCCCGACATGCACCATCCCCTCCAGGAATCACGCCAAGCGGCATCGCAGCGGGACAGACGTCAGGGCCGATTGCGGATGGGTGTTACATTTTGAGAGAGAGAGAGGTAGAGAGAGAAAGAGACAGAGAGAGAGGAGAGAAAGGGCACGGCGACATGACTGATGCTTGGCGGCACCGTCGTCGTCGCAGGGAGCCCGGGGGAAGGCAAGGCAGCGCGCCAGGCTGGCACTGCAGCACGGGGACGGGGCCGCCGGCGGCTCAGTAGAGGAGCTCGCGGATGAGTCACAGCTCCTCGTCCTCCTCCTTGATCTGCGACGGCTTGAGCATGCCGGGCACCTTGGCCGCCGCCTCCTGCTGCTCGGCCGCCTTGCGCTGCGCCTCGGCCTCCTTGTCCTCGATGAACAGGTCGGCATTGTCGGCGCCGGCGCCCGCCACCTCGCGCGACGTGATGAGGAAGTCGCGCAGGTGCACCTTGTACGTCGACAGGTCGCTCGAGTGGAGGCAGAGGCCGTTGACGAAGCTGTCGATGTACTGGGCCTGGACGTGCGGGAAGGCGGTGCGCAGCAGGTTGGACGTGTACTGCCGGATAAAGAGGCGGTTGTTCATGTTGGGGTCCGTCACCGTCGCCGGATCCCACAAGGGCGCGGTGACGCGGTCCGTCTCGATGAGCTCAAAGATGCGCGCCAGCAGGATGCACTGCGTCTTGAAGCCGCTCTTGTGGTCCGAGTCGGTCAGGACAAAGAAGATGTCCTGGATAATGTTGAGCAGGTACTGCTGGTGGAAGCCGTTGGCCACCTCGAGCGGCGAGCCGGCGATGTTGTTGAGCAGCTCGAGGCAGATGTTGAGGCCCGTGTCGGCAATGTCGCGCATCGTGTGCTTGATGGCCCAGATGATGCTGTCCATCGTCAGCTTAAACTTGGGCGGCGGCAGCTCGAGGAGGGCGGGGAAGCAGTAGAGGTTGATGGCGCGCAGCAGCTTGAAGAAGCCGACGCGGTGCTCGGGGAACTCGGCAAAATCCTGGTTGATCATGTTGAGCGTCGGCTCAAACACGGCGTCGAGGACGGGCGGCACCTTGTCGGTCAGCAGGCCCTGGAGGCGCGACGTGATGGTGGCCATGACGTTGAGCACCTCGGCGTCGCGGGCGGCGGGCACGTTGCGGTGGTAGTCGCCCAGGATGGCGTCGAGCAGCGACGGGATCAGGTTGACGTTGACGGCGTCGAGGTCCTCGGCGCGCTTGACGTACGTCTCGACGAGGCGGAGGATGTCCTTCTTGATGGTGCGGAGGCCGCGGACCATGGGCGTCTTGGTGGCGATGAGGCCCTCGGCCTCGACCTTGGAGCTGATGATGCCGCTGACGCTGCGGTAGAGGGCGAGCATGTCGAGGTAGATGCGGCCGATCTGGGGCAGGAAATAGGTGCCGATCGAGGTGCACGCCGACACGTTGGTCTTGAGCACGTTGGAGAGGATCTTGATGTTTTCCGGGCTGCCGAGGACGTCGACGTTGTTGTGCGCCTGCTGCATCAGGTTGTCCCAAGCCGAATTGGGCAGCTCCATGAGCTTGGTGATGAGGCGCTCCTGCGTCGGCCGGTTGGGCTGCGCCGCAATCATGTAGCCGACGGCCTCGTAGAAGGTGTGCACCTGGAGCGGCGTCAGGTCGAGCGTGATGCGGTGCAGGTTGCGCAGGATCTCGTCGATGAAGGGCTCCTGCTCGCCAGCCTGCTGCATGACAAAGTGCCGCCGGCACTTTTGCGCAATCTTGATAAAGGTGTCGCACGCCATGTCCTGGACCCCCTCGTGGGTCTCGTGCATAAACTCGAAGTTCTTGTTGACGACCGTCTTGAGGAACTTCCAGTGCGCCTTGAGGAAGCGCGGGTACTGGCCGACGATGTACATGATGTTGGAGGCGACGACCGCCTTGTTGTCCTTGCCGCGCTTCATCTCGCACAGGCCGAGCAGGTCCTTGATGACGGTGACGAGGAAGCGCTTCTCGGTCTCCTCGTTCATGGCGCCCGAGATCGAGCCGATGGCCCAGCAGAGCGTGTTGAGGTTGGCCCACGACCACTCGGAGCCGTCGACCTGCTTGGCCAGCTTCTCGGTCATGATGTTTTCCGTGTCGAGGACGTCGAGGTGGGTGAGGTAGACGAGCACCTCGCGCATGCTCTTGTACAGCACGATGGTGTCGCTCTCCTTCATAAACTCGCGCACGATCTCGCCCTCGTCGTTCTCGACGATGAGCACCTCCTCGGGCTTGACCATGCGCTCGATCATGACCAGCCGCAGGTTCGAGAGGATGTCGGCGTAGGTGTTCTTGCGCAGATTGGCCGCCTGGGTCGCGGGCGACGGCGCCAGCCCGTTGCCCGCCCCGCCGGCACCACCGGGCCCGCCGAGGTTGAGGCCGAGGATGGGGTTCATCTCGGTGATGGGCAGCGCCTGCAGCTCCTCGTACAGCTCGCTGACCAGCTTGGACCAGTACTCGAGGCAGATCTTGAACACCTCGCGCTCCGGCACCTGCGACACCTTGATCAGGTAGAGGTGGGCGTTGAGCAGCACGTCGCGGTTCTCGTCGTTCTCGACGAGCCTGAGATGGGTGGTGAGGAAGTTGGACAGGAAGAGGGCGAGGTTGAGGATGAGCTCCTGCTCGGCGTCGGAGCTCGTCTCGTAGGCGGCGGCGATGTTGGTCGAGGGCGGGATCATGCGGTTGACCGACGTCATGACCATGTTGAAGAGGACGACAAACTTGGCGTCGTACTCGGGCCCGACGTTGAGGTTGGCAATCTCCGAAAGGCACTTGAGCGTGACGTTGCGGAACTGGGGCACCTCGAGGAAGCGGCTGATGAGGCTGTCGATGACGTTGGTCTCGAAGATGTAGCCCAGCGGGATCCAGTTGAGGAAGCGCAGCATCGTCTCGAGCGTTGCCTTGATCAGGCTCGGCTTCTGCGCCTTTTCGAGCACCTCGGAGCACAGCGTGAAGACCTCGCCGAACTCGCCGCACATCTGGTTCTTGAGGCTCTTGGTCTTGGACGTCGTCATCTGCTCGGCCGAGTAGTCAAAGATCTCCTCGGACAGCAGGCGGAGGATGGCCATGTTGTTCTCGCAGATCGACAGCGAGCCCTTGGACGACGACACAATCTCGGGGATGAACGAGGGCCAGTTGTGCGGCCACTCCTGCTTGAGGATCTGGATGAGCGTCGTGTCGAGCTTGCCGATGTAGGTCTTTTCGCGCTTCAGGTTGGCCTCGTCCGACGACTGCTGCAGGATCATCTCGACGATAAAGTTGCGGATGCCCTGCTGCTGGTCCTCGGGCAGCACCTTCCACCTCGTGGTGATCAGCTTGTCGAGGATCTGCAGCGCGATGTACTGAGGGACGGGGTTGGCGGGGCGGTTGAAGGCGAGGCGGTGGCGCGACGGAGGTCAGCAAGGCGCGCACCGCGATTCGGGGGGCGAGCCGAGGCCGGGGCACTCACCTTTGTCTGTGGGCTGCTGCTCTGCTGCAGGATGGCAGGCACCCTCTGCCAGGCATCGGGGTGCTCCTGGAACTGGGCCAGGGTCTGCTGCGCCATCTTTTGCTGATTGCGGCGGGGCGGGGAGAGGTAGAGCAAGAGGGATCGAGGGGCAGAAGGGGAGCACGGGTCAGCGAACTGTGCCTGTGCGACTGGAGTGACAAGGGCAAGCCCAACGCTCGACGGGCGACTCACGTCCGAGCCGGCGCCGGTGTACATGGCCGCGACGACACGGTCGAGGAGACCGATGTCGAGGTCCTGGTTAAAGTCGAGGATCGCCTCCATGGTGAACGGATCGTGCTGCGGGTGGTCGTGGTCGAGCGGGGAGAGGCTAGCGGTACGGCTGCTCGGTACGATGGGGGCCGCTTGAAGAGGCCTTGGACCGTCTGGATGCGGCAAAGACTTCGGACGAGCGTGTGCTTTGTGCCGACCGGATCAGCGTCTACTCGAGGGTCGGTGCCGGTGGCGTCAGCTCCGAAGCGGCACGGATGCTGAAGGGTGTGGGGCCGACGGGTCGCAGAGCGCAGCAGGCGGTGAACAGCGCTTCCCTCGGGGAGCCTCTGAGATAGCCGTGCTTGCTCGCTCGAACGATGGTAGAGCGGAGGGAGCGTACGCCACCCGGTGGTGCGGAATCCGGAGATAGCCAAGCTGGCAAGGTCCAGACGTCGACGTCGGTGCGGTCTGGAGAGAGCGCGCGCGGATGTGGCGAACGGTGGCGCTGGATCAGAGTAGCGAGATGGCAAGCGCTATCGAGGTGCGGCAGTGTGGTGGGAGGGTGTTGGTGGTGATGGTGGTGATGGTGGCGATGATGGTGGTGATGGTTGCCGGACCGGCAGCGGCCAGGCCTGGGCAGGCTAGGCTAGGGTTCTCTGTCTGCGCTCGGCCGCCTGCCTGACCAAAAAGCAAGCGCAGAGGGCGGCAGGCAGGCCAGGGCCCCCAACACACGGCGGCGTGCCAGCTTGGCCTGGGCCGGCCGGCCTCCTGAGCGAGGCGCGGATGGCATGGCCTCTGCGCGCTGTCCGCCCGTCCGCCGCGTCTCTGTTCTCGGCTTTTCTCTGGCGAGGGACCCTCGCTCTGGCAGGCGCTCGCCCATGCCAGCAGCAACAGCCCTTTCGGACGGCTGCCCGCCTCTCTGGCTGGCTGGTTGCTCCACCTGCGGGCGTCGACGCGATCGAGCCAGGCCAGGCCAGGCCGTCCCTCACTCTCCGCTCCACTTTTCGCCAGCACAGCGGCAGCGACGGCCAGACGCAGAGCCAGAGAGAGGCAGACCGGAAGGCATCCGATGTTGGACCCCCGCCGCCACCACCACCACCACCACCAAGTGGCCTTGCTTGGTCTCGGCGTGGTCCGTCGAGCACCTTTCTCTCTCATACCACCCGCGCCAAGGGTCATCATCGCTTCACCTATCCTGTTGATTGGGGAGCCATCCTAGTCGCCCTTTGCCCGCTCGTCGACAACGACGACAACGACGACTTGGCAGCCTTGCTTACCTGCACGCATGGGTGTGTGTCCGAGCGTTCTGGTGGCGGGCCCTTTTGGCAGCTCAGCTCGTCTGCGCGCCGTAGGTATGGTCGCCCTTTCTCGCGGCAAAGCCCCAAGGCGCCCGCCCGCCCATCAACAGCCGGCCCTTCCGTCTCTGCGCCCGGTAAGCACCCTAGGCTAGGGCGACATCGGGCCATGCCGCTCAGAGGGTCAGTCGGAAGGCACCGCCGTCGTTGCGGAGAAAAGAGGAGGCGGCGACGACGACAGGCGGGCCTTGCGCCCTCTCTTCTGCTAGCCGCGCTCGACGGGCGGACGGCGTTCGAGGCTGGGCCTGTGCGCACGTGGGCACCGCTTTGTCCCTTCCTGTTGGCTGGCGGGCTTGGCTCTGGCGGGCCGGGGGGGGGGGGGGGGCGGGTGGCGTTCGAGTTTTCCGTCGGTTGGGTAGTTTGGGTCGGGTCGTACGTTCGGTACGGCCGGGGCCCGTCGT